AAAATATTTCTCCTCTCCCTTTCCTTCTCTTTCCCTTTCATTCTCTCTTTTTAACCAAACAAACACAATAATTATAACTTTTTTGATATGTTACATAAAAATCGGGAGAGAGATGCTAAAAGAGACTACGTGCTTTTCTATACAAAATCTCAAAATTATGATGTAATGAAAGATTTAACTTTCTTCAAAATATGCAGAATTAAGCCATAATGTTATTAGTATACTAAAGATCCAAGGTATATATATCACTTCCTATTAGTTAATTAGGATGTATCCACGATACATAATCACTTGGGTACATTGATTGCTAATTTGTTTAACACCTTGGACTATTGGAATAAATTAATCGCTTAATATTTTACGCTTAATCCCTCTGCATTTTGACACCAAATTAGGGTTATGAAAATCATTATCGATAATTTTATGGGAGTCCAAACTTCACCTTAACCTAATAGGCCAAGGCACTAAACATACGACCTTGGTTTATTCAAGCTATACGGATATATATACTATAACAAAATTTAAGTATTACCGACAATTATTTAATGGTAATAAATTAATTGCTTCTATTTTATTATTTAATAAAAATATTAATGACTATTATATAATGGTCACTAAAAATGTATTTACATCACATCAAAATTTATTATTAGCTAGTGACAATTATTTGTTAGAAAAAACTTAAGTCTCATATCGATTAGAAATAAAATAATTGAAGAGTATATAAGTGAATGATAACTCTCACCTTACAAGTATGTTTTATAAGGTTGAGTTAGACCTATAACTTACTATTCTAAGTTGGTATTTAGGAGATAAGATAATTAAAAAAATTAAAGAATATATACTTAGAGGATAACATTCATCTTCTAAGTCTCACATCAATTAGAAATAAGGTAACTAAAGAGTATTTGTACTCATCTTATAAGTCTTACATCAACTAGAAATAAGATAGTTAAAGAGTATTATAAATCTTTTCTTAAATTTTTAGCGGAAATTTTAAATGTCAGTAACAAATGACACAAAAAGTTATACATTTTCCCCGACCATTATGAGGGTCTTTACCAGCATATAGGATAATTTTCAGTAAATATTTTAGCGACACTGCATACAATGGCTAATGTATGAAATGCCGGTAAAAGATTTTGTAGCGATTTTTATTGTCACTAAAAATCATATTAAATGTCACTAAAAGTCCATTTTATTGTAGTGATAGATACATGTCCTGTTTTTTTACTTATAAATAAGTAAAAATGTTTACAATTTTTAGAAAAAAATATAAATTAATTTTATGTAATATTTTTAATCTAAGAATATTCCTAGAACAATAATTAGAATACTATTTACAATATATGTGATTAAGAATATTTTTTTAAAAATGTAATATATATTTTATATGAAATCATAAAAATTAAATATATTTAAATAATTTCATTAATTTGTGTGAAATTAACTTTTTTTTATGTATAAGTTTAGAGAGAGTAACAATTTCTTTCTGGAAAAGAAAATAAGGAAGGATAAGTAAAAGAACCAATTGAATACTTTCATATACTTTTTATGCGTTTAGATATTTGTGCAATTAATGAAGTGCTAGTATTATTTTTCAATTAATGATGCCTTCGAAATTAAACACTAGTGACATGACCATTGTTCAAATATCTCTTCCCTCTTTTCTCTCTAAAGTGGATGGCTTGTATCACCCTAGCTCCTCTTCTTCCCCAATCTAATTTTTTGGTATATACATTTTTGTTTGCACAACTGATGGGTGGTCTAGTAACATGCTAAAATGGGAAATAAAGAGAGAGGAGGGTGAAGCTTTACATACATATTATATATTAATATTCACCTGAAAATAGTAGCACCTTGTATGATCGAGAGAAAGTGTAGACAAGGATGTGGTCATAATCCTGTATCTATTTACACCATACGTAATGGGTGAACATTTTATTCAACCCTACCCATATTTATTGAACCCAAAACCAAACCCTAGAATGAACTTCCTCATGCAATTTTATGTTTAGTTGATTAACAGTCTCTCATGTTTAGAATCTCACAATCACAAATTCAACATTGAGTCTTATATCGTCCTTCCCGGCCATATGGAGCAAGAAATTGACAATTTGATATTCAACATGGGTTCACTCGGAACCAGCTTTCCACAAAAGTAAGACCATTAAAAAAACAATCGTGTTTGTTTTCATTAATTTGTGTATTGTTTTTGGAAATAATATGGTAACATGTAGCATTCAACCTTTTCTATTATTTTATTTAAAATTCTTCATATATGCATGTATGTTTAGTTTTTGAGTTTGTGTGCACTAGGAGAGGATTGTCAAGGTATTACTCGGGTAAATCAAGATCATTTGCTTGCATGGAAGATGTACATTCCTTGGAAGATTTGAAGAAACCAGAACATCCTGATGCAAAGAAAAGGAAGAAACATTTGCACATGAAGGAATTGCGCAACCTTCCTCCCTATCCCTGCCGAAGGGTTAGTTGCACTCAATTAACTACCCCATATGTCAACGTGTAGGATTTTATTTCCCTAGTTCAACGCGTCCTTGCTCACACTATTGGTATGTCATTAATGAGAAATTATTAATTTTTGAAAATTACTAAGTGCTCTTAGAGTATTGGTTAAAAAATCAAAACTAGAAAATTTTTATTGAAAAATATATTTATACAGTCTCTTGCATAACTTTATTTTAGTTAAATAAAAAATTTCTATATATTAATTTCTTAACCAATATTCTTAGGACACTAATTAGTAAGTCTCTTAATTTTTTTATATATTAAAAATTTTAAATATATGTCATGTAATAATTAATTAAAATTATAGACATTTGATATATAGTCTTAGACTATCTAATAATTTTTCGTCATTAACACCCTATTGGCTAGTAACTAGTATTGGGATATCTCTCCACCCTACCACTCCACAGAAAAATCTCCATGTGATCATTCTACTTTCTCCCACATTCCATCTTCTTGTTCATGTGTATATATTTAAGCAAATTCTATTATTAAAGGAAAAAGTATTAATTACGCTTATATGCGATTTGTAATTTGTATCAGTGTAGAAAGTTGAAATCAAAACATATGATTGAGTCTAATCCTTTTTTCCCGTTTTGTTTCTTTGTTACATAAATACATTCTTCCCATATTTGAGACTATCCCAATTCAATAATTGTCATGGACATGGATATATTTTTTTCTTGCGGTGAAGTTTCACTTTAATTTTAGATTCCAATTTTGACTCCCATGAGGCAACTAATTTTCTTTATTTTTAAAATCAAGTTAACTTTTAATCCTTTTATAAATTTGCTTCTGTCTAAAACTCGCTTTCCATAAGATATTTGATGATTTATAATTGATTTTGAGATATGAAATAATTTTCAAAGTTAGAAGTTAGAAAATAGAAAAATATTTAAATGTGAGATTAATTAAGGTTAAAAGTTAAGAAAATTGATACTTATTTATTTGAGTGAAACTTCACGTTTTTAGTTGATGTATTTTATGTAGAAAAGAGTTTAAAATAAATCATTTGTTTTAATTGTGAAAATTTTAAGTATAAATGAGAAATTGAAGATTTTAAATAGAATAAAATCAATAGAAAAAAATCAATTTTTTTATTTCATAAATAAAAAAGATTTAATTATGTTTTTAAAAAATTTGGAAATTACACATAATCCAAATTAAAGAGATAAATAAAAAAAAAAAACCAATAAATTCCTTACTTATCTACATATAGAGATGTTATTTCTTCTGAAAGAAATGGTCGGAAGTTTCTCTGAGTCAATCATAAAAAGTTAACACTTGTCAACTAATTAACTTATACAAAGTAAAATACTCATTAATATTTAACTTGCAACTATTACACTAAGTCGGAAGATGTTTTGCAACTTTATCGGATGAGAAATTTTAAAAATTTAAAGAATTTAAAATTTTAAAATTTTAAAATATTTTAATTTTAATTTCCGGTCAGTAAATTGAAGGCCGTTGTCGGTCACCAGAGTGTGCAGGACGCCAAACCGAGTAATGATGTTCCTCCATAGAAATTTCTGGACTTGATGAGCAGAAATGCATGCCAACGGCTCGGCTTCAATCCATTTGGTGAATAGGTCGACGGCAACAATGAGGAACTTGCATTGTCCCTTGGCAAGTGGGAATGGCCCGAGTATGTCGGCCCCCCACGTGGCGAACGGCCAGGCCGGGGGAATGCAATGTAACTGCTCGGCCGGTTGGTGGATCAAGTTGCCATGTTTCTGGCATGGCTGGCATCTCTTTATGAACGCTGCACAGTCGGTGTTCATGGTCGGCCAATAGTACCCGGCTCGTAGAAGTTTAGAGACGGTCGTCCTTGCCCCCGAATGTAGTCCGCATATACCCTCATGCACTTCTCTCGTCACATAGTCAGCCTCGGCGGGATTTAGGCACTTGAGTAGTGGGGTAGAGAAACCGCGTTTGTATAGCTGGCCGGCGATGACCACGTATCTACTGGCTTGGGTTCTTAATCGCTTGGCCTCGGCCGGTTCGGTGGGTGCGATTCCGCCGGTGAGGTATGCCTTTAGTTCGTCCCGCCAATCAGGGGGATTGTCATGATCGGCTAGCTCGGCGTCCACATTTGCTACCATCTCGGCTTCAACGCTGGGGTGGTCGATCTCTTGTTGAATGATCGTTCTCAAGTGACCCGGCTTTTTGGTTGCGGCCAACCTAGCCAACTGGTCGGCCCGGGTATTGTCTTCGCGGGGGATGTGTTCGACCAGCACCTCTTGGAAATTCGCCTTCAATTTTTGATAGGCATGATAGTATCTCAACATCGTGTGGTCCTTTACTTGAAAATTTCCGCCCACTTGCTCGGCCACTACTTTGGAATCTGAGCGGCACTTGATTCTTGATGCACCCATGTCCTCGGCCAATCTCAATCCGGCCAATAGGGCCTCGTACTCGGCTTGGTTATTTGAAGCCTTGAACCGGAAGCGCAAAGATTGCTCTAAAGTTATCCCTCTCGGGCCTTCTAAGATGACCCCTGCCCCGCTCCCTTGGTTGTTTGAGGATCCGTCTACATGGAGGATCCACCACTGTTGTTCAAATTGGCCGTGAGGGTGAAGTTCGTTTATGAAGTCGGCCAAGCATTGGGCCTTGATCGGTCCCCTCGGCTTAAAGGTAATATCAAATTGCGAGAGTTCCATTGACCA